TCCGTTATAGTTTCCAACTGCATATAGACGTAAAACGAATCAATCAATCAATTAATCAATCAATCAGCACGCCTACGGGCTAAGAAGTAATAGCTATAGTAGTAGGACGAGCTAATCACCATTAGTAGTAGTAGCAGTAGTAGTAGTAGCAGTAGCAGCAGCGAGGATAGCGAGGACGACTATAATACTATAGAGGAGGATAGAGATACTACCTTCAGTAGTAGTATAGCACCCTCTATAAATAGAGAGATACTAGCACGTAAGGATCGTAGCACGAGGAAGGCTCGCTACGGTAACTAAACACGTAATAGAGCGGGCTACGGGCAGGCGGAGGAGCGAGCAGCTAGCGGCGGAGAACGCGGAAGCGCTCGCGGGCGTGAAAAAGCGATGTTTATAATATATAATAACTCTCCTCTTCGCGTGCCGCGCTGTAACAGTAAGGTTAGAGATATAGAATTTTTTAGCTAAATTTTAGTATAAAATAAGGGGTACTAGTTCCTATTTCCCGCTAGCGCGTCCTCGCGCGGCGTCGCGCGAGCGACTGGCGCGGGTGGGTTATACCGAAGGTAACTTTCTGCCGGGTTATTACCTAATTAGGTAGGCGGTAGGTGGGGGGGGGCGCAAATTATCTCTTACCTTCGTGCTGGTTGTACATTATTGCCGCTTATTTATATTCCTAGGTAGGTGGCAGTGCTGATTGTATTAACTTAAAGAATGTTACTCGGTAGATTAGAGATCCGAAGACTTGAGTGGCACAGCGAGCGGAGTCGGATGATTTTAGCCTCACGTGCGATTTCAGGAAAGTGTGATCTAAAGTAGGGATTAAAGTTAGTATTACCTTAACAAGTAGATCCTCTAACAATAGATCGACAGGATATATGCTTTATAGAAGTATAATGGGGTAGCTGGCCCAAGCATAACAAGCATTATACGGCGCAAAGTGGTACAGAAGTTAGGAACCAACACGTATATACAGCGGCTTGATGTGATGGAGTAATGTTCTCTATTATTCGGTCTACTATGTACTGCTTCCCTTTTGAAAAATCGCGAGGTTTAGGATCGAGTACCTAGCTCTTAATTGCTGAGATATTGACGTTTGTAGAAGGCGAAAAACTTCTAAGGTTATATGCGAGCATGTACTACTATAGTGATGTATTGAGCGGGATAACATTCATCAGCGCTTGCCCGTTGCTGCTAACAAACCTATGAAACCCGCTTTTATTGACATTATAATCGTCCGATGAAGAAGCTAGATCGTAGACTAATTATAAATAATAGGAAGCTATTGTAAGTGAATAGAGGCCGAAAAATATATAGTTCTAGTAAGGACTTACTATACTTAGACGTAGAAGTATAAATGATTAATGCGAGCTTTGAGTAGGTAGGCGATCTGCCGGCTTTATATCGCTATATAACTTATACATCTTATATTGCCTACGTTATTTATTAAATCTATCGAATATTATATATATATTATACAATTCCTACGCACTATGGGCAGCTTAGGGCCACGTATATTGCCCGGTTAAATAGTAAGAAGGAGAGAGTATTGCGATTTAAATTTAACTTTCTTATAGCATATATAATCGCAATAACTTATTCCACGTTATTTAGGCAATAAAACATTTGCTATGCTGTTAGGGTAGGGTGTTAAACTAAGAGGAGCTGTAGCTGTTAACTAGTTACGTCACATTATAAAAAGGGAGAAGGTTTCCGCTATGTTTTATAATTTCTTTACCCTAGCTCTATCTCCTATTGCACCAAATCCAAGCGAATCCTTATCCACCTTTGATTATATTTTCAAAAAAGAGCGTGTTATATTTTGCTTAACAGAAGAAAGAGTGTTATTACCCGCTAGTAGTTCTACTCGACACGGATCTTATCGGGGGTGATAACACTATCGCCGTTCGTATCGTGCCTTGCTAGTTAGCATTATATAAAAGAAGTAAATACCATACTCACTTGTTGAACCAGTCGATATAAAGCTTGTCATCTTCCGAAGTGCCCATGTACTAAGTGTACTAGTAAAGGGTAACATTTCCAGATCCATCAATATCGGCAGACGTAAAGGCTTCAGCATCTAAGATTTCGCGGGTATTGTCGTCGCGGATTTCCAGCTTATCCTCTCTACGAAAGTTGCCCGAACGGTAGCCTAAAATGTCGGTTTCACTTTCAACTTCAGCTTAGTAAATAATTTTCTTACCTCCTTTACATGCATAATAGAAGATATTGCAACCACCGATGCCGTAGTATGGGGTTAACACGGTCCCGTCTCTACAGATATCTAAGCCACGTATAGAGTTGTAGTGGCTCTAACAGCAAGTAGCAACAACTACGAGCGGTGCAGAAGTAGAGACAATAGCGAGGATGGTTAAAAGATGCATAATAGCAGACGTAAATTAGGTTTCCGTACTAAGCTAGTTGTCGGAAGTAAACTAATAGAGCTAGTCTACGGGAAAACTGCTTAGCTTTATACTACTTTTTCATAGTTCGAATACGAGCAGATACTTATAGGGGACCGTTAGACTATTTAGCTAACTAACAGCAGCAGGATGCATTTAAAAAAAAGCATAGGAGCTTATATTATAATACGAGGACTTTTAGCAGGTGGAACTATAACGGCCTTAGGGTATATATATCTAATGATTTAC